CAATCCATGCGTATCTACACACTGAAGTTCGCCAATGGACATTGGACACGACCAGCTGAGTAAGGGTTATCTTTGACTATCAGCTTTTTCAGGCACACTCTGCAAGTGTCGTACAAAATTCGGGTAACACTTCTCGTGAACTGAAGCTAACAAGTTCGAATAAACAACCTCATATGTAGATAAAATGAAACCATAGAGACGATTAACCGGGCTAACCTGCGGAATATCACAGCAGTATGGATACCGATCTAATGATCTCAATACAATGTTGTGCTCGATGGCCTATCGATGATCGCTCTTCATCCCTATAGGAAGTAGTTGTCCCAGCACGGTGCAAATGTCGTTCATTCATTGACCACATGCTTAAGCACGAAGTACGTGATAGTGATTTCATTGATCAAATTACCTTCTTTGATGATGTTTGTCGTTAGCTGAATTATAGCTATATGGATAGACAAAATTATCGCAGTCGGGTTTCGAAGTACAATGACGCTACACTGTATCGCAGAGCAAAGGTATTACTGGGCCTTTTTAGCTTTGAAGACTGCAACAGAAGTCAATGGCGGGCTCTGTTGTTACATGTGAGAAACCTTTTTGCGTTTGAATGCGAAATGAAGTATGGGCATTGGATTTCAGCAAGATGGAGCAACCGGCAACGTAGCGTGCGGGAGAGTTAATTCGCTCGAAAACGTATTATATAATATGCTATACATGTTTGACGACTAAGACCGCGCGACGAGATGCGTCAAAAAATTGTTTATCTTAATCGGTCAGTTGTAAATACTAGTTGAATAGGTTTGTAGTGTCATATCTAATGTACATAATCTGTTTTAGTAATGTTACTAAACCTAAACGATCCTTCTACGTTAATTAATCATGTAACTAGACAGCTAGTCTTTAAAACCCTGCTATAATTAAGTATACTGCCTGTTGAAAACGTGTTTGGATTGTTTAAAAATAGCTTACGGCGTCGATACAACCTTCGATAATACTATTTAAAGCTCTCTCTACTTATAGTTAAAGGTTGGCAGGAAGAAAAAGAATCTGGAAAAGATGTCTCCTTCACCAGCTTTGTCAACTAACACTTAGTTCGTGTTGGGCTACAGTAGTCCCTTTAATATTGTACAGTGACATAGTCCAACGATTGTTGTTTAATTAAGCCCTATACGATAATGAATCAGGCTAGCCTTTGCAACACCAAAGGGTCTGTTGTATTAAATAAAGTTAGTTTGCATTAATGGCTTCATAGTGCTTCGACCATTTTCATTAGGAAGTTATTTAAAAGATTTACGTTATGATCAGCTCACAGATATCAAAACGAATGTCTGATATCGGTAATGCTTTGTATTAGCTACTGAGTTTAACTGGAGCTGGGTCTACCTAACAATGATCAGCATCCGTAGGGATGAATCACTATAATCTCAGTGCCGGCATATTTTAAACGGATTCAATGAAATCGGTATCGTTGGATCTCTCACAGTCTTAATCATTGTCGCTCGTATATCAAAATAGGAATTCATATAATATAACACAACGGAATTTCCATAAGTATACACACATTGAAGAGGTTGTAATAGGTTCGACTAGTGATGATTGTCTTGTGTATAACCGTTGATGTCAAAAAATTGCCGGATGCCGAACTGCGGGAGTTGTGCACGGTACTTTTACGCTGCAAAATACTTTATAATCTATTATAAAGTAGAAAGTACAATACAAGTAGTTGTATGTCATGAGGCGTGATGATGCTGGTTGCGGTAAGGGGATATACTACGCATTTGACGTCAGTACTGATGATCGAACGTGTTCCTCGTGAATACCCTTTTTGCATTATTGTCTGCGATTAAATGTAATGCTTCGCTAGTAGTTAGTAAGCGGGGTAAGTCCTCGAGTAGTCTTCTGGAAATCGTGAAGACATTTTGTAGCGTTCCATTTTCTTTAAACCATAACTATTATACACCATAAATATTAAATTGAAAGTTCATGCAAACGACTCGTTGAACGTTTCCTCCGAGTCGTTCGTACCTTGTACCTTAAGAAATTTATATCTTCTAATTATAAGAGATATATTATGGCGAAAAAGTCCTCGTATTTTCGTATGATTTGTGTGAAATTAAAAGTCTGTAGTTTTTTTGGGAAAAATGGGACGATATATTCGTCGTAAGTTGTAATTTTGAAACTACTAACTGGACACCAACAAATGTATCGTCCAGGGTTTCTCTGTTCTTGCCAACTATATGTTCATAACTACTGCGCCAAAACCTGTCTTGGAAATTTGTACGTGATCTGGAACGTCGGCGCTGTGCTATCAAGACAGCCCCCGGCTAAGTTCGGTGCCTTTCTCGCGGCGTTGGTGTTTGTTGTGCCACCATCTTGTAAATGATTAAGCTCATAAGGGTAGACACGGTAATCGTAAGCAATCATATCAATCCGCGGGCTTTACCCCGTATCTGCTCTGCTGTTGATTTGTCTGATTTGTTAATGTTATACCCAATTAGCAGTAAACCGTAATACACACGAACAATTAAGTTTTATGTCCGGCATCGGTGTTAGGTACTACGTCGGAGGCTGGCTGGCTGGTTCCCAACACGAAACAAATTCTGTATATGCCCAAATTCGAACCTAAGCAAAACGTGTCCCTAAGATTAAACCGCCCCATCTAATCGTTACCTTTTTATGTTTTTTTCTATAAATGTGTTTTATTAAGCTGATTAGTGTTAAGGTTAGCCTAACGTAGGTTATAGTTCAACTAAAAACTTATACGATCCGGTCTAATCATCAGTTACTTTACAGCGCCACAGTAATTTTTTTTAGTATATTTCTTTGGTCCAGTAAATATACTGCTAAGTTTAATCCTGTCACTGTCCCTTTACTTCGCCCGTTTCTTTTTCTCAATGATATGGTTTAAGTGTCCAGTTTTCCCATCGTCCTATTTGATACTTGTTCTATCAAACCCACCATGAACTATTATCGCATGCTTGTAGATTGACATCTTTACAGGCGTCCCGTTGTAATTCTTTCGAGGTCTTGCTCTGTTAGTTTTTTTATACTGTTGCAATTATCAGGTTTTTGTATTTCATTTCCATAATTCAGTCAACAGTGTTTTGTGTCTGTAACTTCATTATTTTAGTACATTGATTTAAATGCGGGATGAATTACGTCAAGGTACTTTGTATGTACAGTTCCTTTAAAACATAGCTAAACTCTGGTGAAGTTGCTAATATAAATCCGAATAAATTATCTTTTTTTCTATACCTAGAGCGTACCTCCGTCAGGTGATGTCAGTCTAACCCCTTATTTTTGCAGTTCAAACTTCGTGGGTTTCTATTTTCGTGGGTTTCCTGGGGGTTCTGCCGTACTTTTCGTTCAATTAACCCTATCTGTCGGAAAAAATACTTATCCAGTCGAAGATATGAATCACATATGCCGAGAGGACTCTTATTAACTATTTCCCAAATTAACCAAATTACCATCACCGCCCTTATAAGAAAGAGAAACTATATTTTTGTAAAAAGTATTCGCACAGGCAAAGAAAATTAACCGTGGCGGTTTATATTGCATTCTTTATTATTGTGTTATAATCAGTTGAGACTAGTTATTTTATCACCCAAGTAAAAGTCACAGTTTTACCGTCGAGTCGGAAAAAATGAAACATTAAAAATTATGCCTTAAACCCAATACTACACACTTTTTAAAACTTGAAGGACTATAACTTTTCAATATACAGTTTTTTCAAATTTTTCAACGTTGTCGAATAACTGCCTAAAATTGATCAACTTGCTTAAATTATTGTTACACATTATGAACACAAAGTCCTGTCAGAAAAGGTAAGGTCCTCCAGTCGAATAATATCCATTATATATAACGAAGTGGTTCAGACTTCATCAGTTATTTCGCAAATGTATCACATTAGTATTAAGCCTTTTTATAGGAGAGAGCAACTGCCCCTAACCCCATTCTTCTGAAACGAAAGCGGGTGAAAAAATGAACTGAGATCATTCATACTTTACCGACCATGAACTACTATAGCAAAAATCGCCAGTTTATCATAAATTGAAAAAAAAAAGTAAGAAACCGAAAAATTATTTTAAGATCTGATTTTGCATTTATCGCATTGAGTTTAAAAAACAGCTTTTCAGCAATAAGTACTTCATATATTTTCGACGATTACTGAACAAAGCGTAAGAAATGATAAACTTTGTCAACTATACATTACACTGTATGAGGAAAACACCATCCGGGGAGAAGTACTCGTCCAATCGGCTTCAGCTTCTGACCATCTCTTCTTAGTATGAAACTCTAGCGATCAGTCAGAAATCAGCTCAACCCAGTCACTCCGAACTGACCGTCTATTTTGGTCGGACAGACAAACACATGCAGTCTTAGTGATGTAATAGACAGCTACAGATGTCATCCTCCAACCTTATTCGACTTCTGATTTTTAAGAAATTGCTACAATTTGTTTTTATACCATATCTACCTATATTGTAAGATTTCGGTCCATTAGACCCTGAAATGCATATTTTTCTTTAGCAATGTTTGTTCGCGAGTGATCGTACCTGTATGAACACTACCATTTGGACGTAATTTATATTAATCGAGTGCCCCAAAAAGTTAGTATTTTATATCCGGGATTAAAAGCAGAAGTGATTTCTATACTTGGAATTTGGCAGTTCAGATGGATGGTTGTTTGTTTAGGTCCAAATTGTAACTACAGAGCGAAAACAAT